AGATAATTAGAGTTATAGCACATCAAAATACTGAAAGTAGTAGAACAAGCAGTAAGCACTAAAAGGCTTATGAATAAAAAGATGAATTTTTATATCCCTACTATGTTTATATAAGCGGTTTTAAAAATAATATTATCCGACGAAATTATCTAGATGAATCGCCATAAAATTGTATCTTTTATCTAGATGTATGTAAAACAAAATCATCCTCATCTCATCTTTATCTAGCTAATTTTTAAATCATCCAAGCACAACACTGCTTATACATCCTTTCCGTTATCTTTCCGTATCGGCAGTGAAACGAATATATGAGCAATGGGGATAATTGCAATACGGGAGATATAGTGCATCAATTTTTACCTCATAGTTTCTTTATTATAAGTTAGCTCCTTTCAACTGTCAAGCACCGCAGGTGCGATTCTTACGACAGAGGCACTTGAATCAAGCACTCGATCCGCGCGATCTTGCATCAGCATTTACTACTTTAGATCATCGATATAACGCGAACTCTTAGATATCCCTTTAATTTTCTTAATAATTGTAATGAAATTATCTCTTGAATTATTTCACATGTTAATTTAATTAGTTACGCACGATTATGAAACACTAGAAAATCCTCCGATAGAAATCTCCCGTATGTGTTGGCAATAATTTATTAACACATTTCTGATAAATAGATATTGTATATCGTTTTTTATATTTCTGCTTATAAGATGTCTAAATAATACATTTTTACGTTTTTACGTGTTAGATTTAGATTAAAAATCAAATGTGTTGTCTATTGAAATATTAATTTTTTAATTGTTTGCACATTTTTAATGACAGCACAATTTTGTTTCTCTTTAACATTACATTAAGCATACACGTTAGCATTTAAAAATGTGTAGCATGCATATGTATGTATTTTATAAATGTTATATACGCCATCACACATATTTTTTTAATTACTCAACCTACAGTTTTTCTGACAAGATAATTTCTTCTCAGTGAAAATATTAATTGTAAGAGAAATTTGCTCATATCGCTTTGTTTCTTTTCTCAACACTGTATACATTTGCAGTGTTGAAAAATTCATTAAAGTCTGCTTCCAATTATTGAAAAAGTATTATTTCTTTTTTATCTGATTAATTTGTTTTTAATTATTACTTCTTTTTCAAACTATTTCTGTCTTTAATATAACTCGAAAATTTTTGAGCGCATCATTATTTTAACGAAGGAAAAAAATTCGGTTTCAAAATTTCCCAGGAATCCTTAATGCGAAAAGGAATGTTGTTCTGTATTTCATCAATCCACATAGACCACGTTTGGTCGCTTTTAATTTATCGATGAGAATATACAACCGGAATTTAGGAAAGTCGTAGCAGCTGGTTACGGTCTAGTATATAGCTCTCCACTTAAAGTTATGCCAACTGTTACGTGATATCACGTGACAGAAAGACAGCTTTCATAACCATCCCGATCTGTTCATCAGAGGGTTTAGACATTATATCTTCGGCGTCGTTAACAAAGTCGATAAATCAATCGTCGCGACGTGCGAAACGTGTTATCAGCGACGCGATAATTGAAATTTGCTTTTGCGCCCATGAATGAAAACCCTGCCACACATTTTGATGACGACATTGTCTGCAAACGATGACGTCTACCGGATCCGGTCTCGCATTCGGTATTTTTGTCTCACAATTTTCCCGTTCGTTGATCGCGTTACAAAACTTGCGAGAAAATTACATGTTCTATAAATATCGGATATAATTGTCAAATTTATTATTAGACTAAAAATAATTATTGGATAAATAATCGCACAGAATTGGAGAACGCGCGGGACCTCAATAAAAATAGCTATATTTAGCTATGCCATTATTAAAAAATATGCATGTTTTACGCATGTAACTAGTTTCGCGTGTTCACTTTTTTCCCTTTTTTTTACGGATTCAGGATTTCCTTTGGCGTTAGCCTTGAGGTCGAATATACTCGTGAGAGAGGTAAAAGTCAAATGCAGTGAACTTGCTTGTTGCCGCTACTAGCCAGTTATCCAGGAATGCGATAACTCGACGTATGTGTGCACATGAAATTAGACACATATTAAGCTAATCGTTAGACGCAATTATTGCTCAACGTTGCATATCCTCTGCGCATTTACAACACATCGGAACAATATCCGGAATTATTTAAAAAATTAAATTATCCGTTATTACGATTAAATCGCACTTTATGTAGGTCTTTCGTCACATCGAAATATCTACATTTTTTATGAACGGTATTTTCGAGCGAACTATGTCACGATAAGCGATGTGTATTATAGCATAAAAAGATATTATATATATTATATATACATTATGCAAGAAAATAAAGAGACGTTCAAACATTTCAACTAACATTTAATGACATAAGTACACGTAAAAGTTAAAATGATATTGTATAAAGGTCTATAATTAGGATATAAATTATATGTACAAATGATAGATATTATTTTGCAATATCACTAGTTTGTAATGTGACATGTGCGAATGGGAAAATTAGTGCAGGGTAATTTAGTTAATTTTTTTCAAACGCATATATACGCACGTTAGATTTACAAGGTTACCGGTCGCCGGCGATCGGTTTATTGCGTACATGTGTATGCTTATATACAGATTGCGAATGTTGTCATTTGCCTGTTGTCGTGGCCTCAATTAATGCCAGGTAAATGAACCGTTGCACATAGTATAAAATTTGCAGCAATGTAAAGAAACAAAAATCTTCTATCTATCAGCTTCTATAAATACACATATACATATATTTTCCATTCTAATATTTTTTTAAGTATTTTTTTACTTTTCGAATATTTTTTCCGTAATGTTTTTAATTTTGTTATTATCTACTTTTTAGAATTAAATTGTTTATTAATCTGAGAAATTAATTAGGAGGATGAAAAATACACACATATGTATATATATTTATTAGGAGAGAAAAGATGTGTATTTATATAGAAAATTTTAACAAACTAAATACATGAAGATTATTTTTTATTAGACTAAAAAAATATAATTTTTATATTCTACATATATATATAGAATAATATGGAAAATTTAAATATATAATATACATGTATGTATAAATTTAATTAAAAAGATTTTTATTTTATAAAGTTTCAAAATTGTATTTTTTAATGGGCGCTTAATTAAAATTTTATTAAATTAAACTACTAACAATAAGTTTACTGTGCATTTACGCTAATACCGTAACTATGCATTTTATAGATAGCTCTATTCTCACGTACACATAAATATAACGGAATGTAGGCAAGTAATACGTTATGAAACTATGATGAATAAAATATAAGTTTTCTTAATACATAAAATTAAAATTTTTCAATTAAAAAAATTTATGTCGCACGGCCGGTTATTATATCTAATAAATTAATACGTTGAATGTCAAAAAATTATGGGAAATTCGAACGAAGGAGACATCGTTATGTACAGAGTGAAGGAATGCTGTCGTTTCTTAGCTTCCGAACAAGTCAATGGGAAACTAAAGTGTTTGCGAGAGCATCTAACATTCCATCGCTACGAAAATAGTCATGAGAAAGATAGGTTTGGTCAATAATGCTTCGTAAATAATAGCGCTACGTTTTGCACAGATAACGCGCAAAGTAATCGTAGTATTCTCTACTTGAAAATTTTTGAAAAATCATTGAGAATATATAAAATTATATATATGAAAAAATACAATTCAGTAGTTTCATATCTCTCGTGTCTTAAAATAATTTTTATTATTATTTTTGAATATGAATATATATCTCTACTCTTCTCTAAGTTTTAAAACTTTAAAACATATATTACCATGCAGCATAACAATATTGCATGTTATCATTTTTTAATTTTTCTTTTAAAAATTATCAATTCTTTTAAGACATAATTTATAATATAAAAATTACATCTTTAATTATATTAACATATAAAGTATTATTCATATAATTATATATTAAAATAATTATAATATGTATAAATTAAAAATAATTAGAAATTTAATTATAATTGCATTATACAATGAACGGAATATAAATTACAAAAAAAAATATTATATAAATATTATATATGTATATATACTTTTTGTACAAAGTTAACGCAAAAAAAAATGTAAATTATGTAAGTGTATTTTTATTGTGTAATTAAAACTCTTAGCTTGAAATATTAATTGATAATAATTTATTATTAAGTTGCCGCACAGCATCAGAAAATCTTAATTAGCGCTATTTTTTCCGAGTAGTAAGAGCTATGACGCAGCGGACGCAGTGTTGCAAGAGTAGTAATTGCTCGAATAAGGTCAGACCGGCGCGGCGACAGTAGTAAGTCACGCGTTACGTCGGACCTACACCGCGAGAGATAGCTCTATTCTCACGCGTACGCAATATTACACATTAAATAATTGTTCTGTTCAAACTATCGTCACACTTATCTCTTAATCGATTATTAATTGACTAGAATACTTAATCTTTTTATAAATACTAAATTAATTATAGTAAAAATTAAAAGTAAATTAGAAGTAGACACGTGAATACAGATATTAACGTTTGTTTAAACCACAATTTAATACTTTTAATTAATTTTACTTTTAACACTTTTACATTTCTACTATTTCTATTCACATTGACTTTTATTAAATAATAAAAGTTTTAAATACATTGTAATATATTAATAACGCGCATTCTTCTGTAGATTCTTTTATAAACAATTCGATTACTTCATTAATTTGTAAATAAAAAGTATTCTCTTTGTCTCTCTCTTTCTCTTCTTCTGAAAATTTAATTAAATAAAATTTAAATAAATTATATTACAGCTGTAAGTAAAAAGATAATATCGATAATATGTGCACGGTTCTAAGAATATTTGACAGTCATGTTTGAAACTGGGATATGGTAAATATTTGTGGTATTACGTAGTTAATTTTTTACGGCATAATATAAGTTTATGGTCAATATTTGACGTAATACAGAGAGAACTTTCTTCTTTTTCCATTTGCAGAACAAAACGAATACGCGAGACAGCAGGATAGGTCTCGCGAGGGCAACGAGCACTATGCAAACGCAGATGCCTGGATCTTTGCCCGATTACCAAATCGATCCTTACAGACTTGCAGAGGATGACCTTAAGGATATGTTCGACGACATACGACTGGTAAGTCCTTATATTATTATTATTATTTTAAATTGCATCTCTGAGGAATCGTTATCCTGCTAGCTTTTCTTTCCCTTTAGGATCAAATTTATTTATTTATAACAAACAAAATATAAGAACCACATTTTTTTTGTATCTCTAATTTGTCGATATATTATTTAGAAAATAAATATAAAGTTTAATTTTTTAGTCTTCCTTAATTCATAGCGTTTGACTATTAGAACTGTTACATTCGAATTATAATTATATAATTATTGCCTGATCAAAGCAGCGTATATAAATCGATTATTTATTCTTTTTTTGTTTTCAATTGCATAAAATCTCATAAAAAGATATATATTTATCCTTTCTAGTAAGACATTTCTAGTACAAGAATCATAATTACGTAATAAATCAAAATCATTTTCGTCTCTTGATATGTAAGTTAGTAATGAATATTGAAGTAAATATAATAATTGCGCAAAATTGATGGACACAATATGCCATTACTGACGAATAGTTAATACGCGAATTCATTACATAAAAGAAGCCGAAGGCTATTAATCCCTATTCATATGAGGCGGCAATTGTCATTTACATGTATAGCCTCGAGAAACTTTCGGGAAGTAAGAGCATACCGTCTTAACGGCTATTTATGTAATTGACTTCATCGATATTACGTATGCGCTGTATTATGAAATCGTGTCGGCCAATATGTATGACGAACCTAGCGGTGCGGCAAAGATGCATGTGTCAAAAAGGTGTAATTAGAAAAGAACCGCGCGTAACCGAATTGTTTTTTGATTTCACATGACAATCCTTTACTCTTTGATCCGGAAGAAAAATTATTCGATTTAGAAAGATCGCGCAATAATACTGGATAATAATTTTGTCGTAATATTTTTAGATAATGTCGCGAAATTACACGCGCAGAAAATAATCAATTCTTTTTTTAATCTTACATGTAAATATCGAAAACTTTACTCATTTTCTTCAATTTCTAAATTTCAAATGACAAGCGAAATTTATTAGAATACTTTATCTAAATATTCTTTATCTAAATTTCTTTTATAAATTGCTACGGAATTTTAAAAATTATTATTTTTGCATATCTTAACAAAATATTGATTTCTTGAATGAGATCATTATTCGTTATTTTTCAATAAATATTTATTACCGCAATAAATATTTATTGAAATTATTATTTACTAAATAATTTATATATGATATTTTAAATCGGCCAATAGAGCCCAAGCGCGAAAAATTAATTCGGAATTGTATCTCTTGGTTTGAGATTACTAAGTTCCATATATAAAGTAATCTCGAACTTACATATGGAGAAATAATTTATATTAGCTTTATAATATAAATTAAATCCTGATTCTTCGTGTTAAAAAATGTTCAGAAAAATCTTAAATTATCAAAATTATATCGCATGCTTTAATAATAATCTTATCTTACAGTTCCTGATTACTTATCGACAAATGACATTGGGCGTTGTTCAAAGAGAATCTTATTTTTACGATGACAAGCACAAGCACACTATCGTTAAAAAGCGCGTTTACAGATATTGATGAAGAGTCGTACAGTTTTTTACGTGACTTTGTCTTCACTTAATGCGTTTCAGCCCGTTAGCGAAAGCAGCTGAGACTTCACGGTCTGTGTGTGGTCTAGAAAAGAACTTTTACTCGCAATCGCTGTTCATCATGTACGTCTGTACGTCATATGGTGTGAAATTCGCTCGATCTGAGAAAGAAAGTATTCTAATTTTTATCGAGAAACAAATATATTCTGCATCTTCCTATCGCTTTAAGATCACTTGTTCCTCCGAGGAATTAATTTTTGATATTTGTACAAAAATAATGATTTATTTTTTAGACGTTGTTAGAATATAGATGAGTGAAATATTAGTGTGTAGGGCAACTTAGAAGAAAAGAATGCAATACGCAACTTCATTGATTCTTCTCATCTTTTACGAGCATGAAGTAATTGAATCATGTAACCAACTTTATAAACGAGATGGCACGCTTCTTCTCAAGTATTACAGAGAAATTTGACCGCAAAGTCTTAACATAATGTTCGAATATTCATCAACTACTGTCATTAAGAAACGCGGTAGTTAATACAGGCTTTTGTCTATAAATTATAAATGTGTGGAATCAAGGCTAACTGTTTTATATATCCTTATACATAGAGTGTCCATAAGTGGTGATGCAATCGGAAAAATGTTTCTGTAAAAAAAATAAATCGAAAATATAAAATAAATTTTTTTTAAATTAATTTTAAAATTTACTTGAAAATTTGGAAATAATTAATAATATTAAGTATGTAATATTAAAAAAAAACGATGTCATCTCAAAGATTATTTCATTTAAAAATGACCTAAACCACAGATCGAAATGTCATGAGATATTTATTTTAATAAAGAAATTATTGTCCAATATTGGTCGTTTTTTTTTTTTTTTTTTTTTTAGTATTACATACTTAATTTATGGTTTTATTTTATACTGGCGAATTGATTTCTCACATTAAATCAATTAAGACATTTTATCGAATCAATTAATAATATATTTATACCTTTTAAGCTTGAATGATCTTTAATGGCTTTGTATCGCATATCAATTATTAAGTATAAGAAAAATTTATTCTAATCTTATATTTATTTTTTTTCATATAGAATAAAATTTTCTCTGTTGTATCAGTAGTTTAAAAACTTGTACATTTTTATTATTGTAACGAGAGACTATAATGTTGCATACGTCGATTAATAATACAGAATAATAATAAGAATAATTTCCCGGCAAATGTAAGATCCTGAACTTGAAATAAATAAACCAAAAATCTTAATCTCTGGCTGATCTTAGGTGAAAGGTGTTTTAAAGAATTGACTTGACGTGTCGTTACTTTGATTTGTATGAAGTGTTTTATAAATTGCATGTAAAATGAAAATAATAATATTATATTATATGTTAATATATATTATTATATTAATATATTATTTTATATATTATATATAAATTATAATATATTATAAATATTGCAATGAAATTACATATTGTTTTATTGTACATACTTCGATATTTGGCTATAATTTTCACTACACGAGTCTTTGAATCTTTCATTGATATAAAAAATTTGAAGATTTGTGTATTATTATTTTTCAGGAACTTATTAACAGCACTACGCAAGAAGAGCTGCGACCTATAAGCACGTATTACTTGGATGGCCAGGGAAAAGCGATACGACCCATACTTACCATACTCATGGCACGAGCTATTAATTATCACAAGGGAAGAAAGTAAGTAAACGCGCGCATTTCTGTAAACATTTTTGAAATTTTTATCGAGGAAGAATTTTTGTAGCTAGACCAAACCGTACAATCGCGCGTGTTTGTGTAGAGAAAAAAATTTGCATTTTTTTCTTTTCCTTGAAAAATCTTAAAATAACATTTATCCATTTATTTTTTGTTATTCAAAGAAAAACTAAAAGACGAGTAAGAAGAGTATAGAAGACGACTAGTAGATATTACGTAATTACAAATGCAAGAGAATCGCGAATAAATATAAAATTATTAACATATTTATACTAAAGATGTCATTTTTTTCCATTCTTACGAGCAGCTGGCAAGAATCTTGTTATTCTACGCGCATAATGTCAGTGATTACATCAGTAGTATCCTTAAACCGTAAATTTTACGAGCAATTTTTCGAATTGAAATGACGCGAAGCAATGTAGATCTTGTTGGAAAATTTACGGTTATGAAGATTTTGCGTGAGAGAGCTGAATCTTTTTTTTTTTAATATTACATGCGTGCTGCACGATGAATCTCTGCGATTATGAAAATGTATATATACGTTCCCGACGTTTAGAAAGCATTAAAAGTACCAACAAAGTAGTACAAGTTGGATCTCTATGAAAGTGGCGGGGTCAATCCATGTATACACATGCACACACATATTTTGTGTCGAGCAAATTATTCCGAAACATGAATGGGAAGTTTGAGTGAATGAGAACTTCAGTAGCGTGTCCGTTCTAACATATATTTAGATTCGGAAAGAGAGGAAACGTAAATTCCATCGATTGATTGAGATATAATTTTAAAAGATCTTTAGAGCAAAAGCGAATTATATTTGTTCGCGATTTGTGTCGAGATTTGCTTTAAGCGCGTAATCATAAAAGTGTGAAAATTATTAGACTGTAACAGACTGCTGTTTACGGCTTATTTAATTAAATAGGATAATCTTCGAGGCTGAAATTTTACGAAGCGTAGCGTTTCAAGATAATTTTTTCTGATTATTTATAATTTAAAAAAACTTAATAGACCGCTATATATAATGATTCTTCGCAAGTAGCTTATTCTACAACAAAGGGACTTTTGCTTTTTCAGCGTTCTCTCGCATGCGCAACGACAAGTAGCGATGATCTCCGAGATGATCCATACCTCTTCCTTATTGCACGATGATGTGATCGATCAATCAGACATCCGTCGAGGCAAACCATCGGTGAATGTCGTCTGGAGTCAAAAAAAGGTTGGATTTATTACAAAATTCTTCGATTCGCAAAGATTCAGTTGACATTCTTTATCATATAAAGGAATTCATTTTTTATTTTAAACTTTTCACCAAACGTAAAGGTCATTGCCACATGAAAATTAATATTTCAATTATTTCTATCTAAAAAATTCATATAAGTTGAAATAATAAGACAAATAATTAAAGAAATAATGTTTGCTTTAAAAAAAGGAAATTTGAACAAATGAGAAAAATTATATATAAAAATATTTAAATTAAAATTATATGTGTAATCATATATAGAATATTTGTTCTATAAAAATATTGCAAAAAAATGTATTTATTTTTGAGCATAAACAGCGATTATACAATATACCATAGATTTTGTTCTGGTAGTTATATTTCTCCGGTGCTTCTTTTTTGAATTAAAATTTTATCGAGAGCGACTACTACGCATCGGTCAGTATATTAGTGATGGAAACTCTCTCTCTTTAAAATATCGGTGAAGGAAGGAGGCTAATGCGATTCATGGCCGGACATCGATAACGCGCTTTCTAGATTTGGAAGCGGATTTGGTCTCCGCCTGTTTCGCCTGTGTCGGAAAACTCGGAAGAACCGAAAGGAGAATATCGATTAAAAATATCGTCCGTTTGTAATAGAATATGAAGGACGACGTAAGACTTTCTCGAAAGCAACGAGTCAATCGACTTGCTGAAATTACATATATTAGAAATCGACAGTTGGAACGACAGTGGGCGACACGTGATCGAAAAATTTTAACTCTCAAACGCATAGGAGTTAATGTACGCACTTTCGCAATCGATCGGAACGGCCTGAATTTCGTCCGCGCTTTTCCATATACGACTGCCCACTTGCCGCGTTTCTAACGCTTATTAATTAGCTTTCAATCGGTGTCGCGCGAAAATGATTGAATTGCAGTCACCATAGACGTTATACAAGCGTCCAGGCAAGAAGTGAAACGAGAGTGCGCGATTGAACATTAGACGCTAGGTCAAGAACGCGCAAAGCACATTGACACATGCATATAAGTACGCGAGTGTAAACACGCGTTTGTATATATAGAAAAGTGTCCGTTCCTTTTATGCCTTTCATATACAAAGTGTCTTGCAAGTCGTCCGTTTTTCTTCTCGTTAGAATTACAGATTCGACGCAGGAAGGATCTTTTTATCTTGCTAAAAAAATTCCATCTACGGGGAGAATTCTCTCTTAGAATTTAGCCTGAAAATCATGAGATTCTCTCTGTGATTAATATTTACCACAATGACGAATATTAATATGTACATAGTCAAATTAATCGAACATATTTTATCTTATTGTGTGTGTGAATATTAATATTTTTATTGTGATAAATAAATTCTAAGAGAAAATTCTTTCCGTGTATTGATAATCCGAGGAAGAATACGAAAACCGATGTATTATTTTTTGCACATAAACTCTAGCATTTAATTAAAAGTTTAAAATATAAGTCTATTTCTACAGATATTTATTAGAAACTGCGCTATTTTTACAAAAGCTTAAAAAATTAAAATCTGAAAAATAGATCTCTCAATAATTGATAAAACGATATATTATATACATATATCAAATAAAAATTTATTGGGTTTAAAATAAAATCACAGTTTTCTTATTTATTTGTAAAAGTTATCCAATTATTTCTCAATAAATATTTTATTATCCTCAATGAATATTTTATTGGTTGTCGTGTTAGCTTGATAGAAATTACGAAATGTAAGATGTAAAAACAATTTTAGAGAAAATTTATGAATGATTTTCTCTTATATTATTTTATGATTCTAGATTTAAGAATCTCTGAATGAAAATCCATTTAATTGGATAATTTAATGGACTATTAAGTTGATCGATACGCGAAATTAAAAGAAGACTTTAAACTATGTTGCACGAAGGATATCTATTTTTCCGATTTTGTATCCACAATCCACGTACGTGTTACGACATTACAGTCTTGGAACTTGTCACTTTAATGCCTCTAACTCGGCACTCCGTCCAGACATGTAGATATCTCGATGCGTATCGCACGATAATGCGTTGTGCAACAATAACTTGTAACAACATTTTGAAAGATCAAGTTACACACCATGAATTTTCCAACAAACGTAAAAATGCTTTGTCTTTCTTGGTCGCAAACGTTATTTAAATTTGGAATACGTAAATACGCGAAACGAGGAGAAGAAAATAAAAATGTATTTTAAACAATCGACAACAATTTGCAATAATATCGTTGAAAATCGAGGGGAAACAAACGTGAAAGGTGAGAACAAGTTGGGCAGAGCGAGGATGGACGTATCGTAATTTGCATAATTGAATCCTGGAATAGCGCAGGCGCAAATATGATGAGGGAGGCGCAAAAGTGTGACAACCTTGATGCTTGATGGAATTAACGCCTTCCAGAGAAATGGAAAGTCCGACGATAACCGACGAAAGTCGCGACGCTGACGTCGTCTTCGATGCTGAGGGTCGCGCGAACATAGCTGAACTAATGAATTGTGCAACAGTTCGCTCGCTATATTAACGTACCGCTAATTGAGAGAACTCTTGCCGTGGTATATACAATAATTATTTTCGAGTTGCACCTATCAATAAGGAGATTACGTGTGTAAAGCGTGACTCTGTGGAATGTGAGCCGAAGGCAAGTGTGAAATGACGAGAATACGCTCTGACGGAAATATAAAAATACAATGGCTCGCATTGACGATCAGAAAAATGCTTAAAGCAATATTATTGCAGTAGTATAGTACAAGAATAATTCAGAATAGTTATACTGATTTTTACAAATTATATATTAATTATAATATATTATAAAATAAGGATGATTCAGAATAAATTTAACTCATTTTAACAGATTATTTTGGAGGCCATTCTCAGGAAAAAAAATGAACATATGTAGGTCCTAAAAAATTTCTACTTTTTTATTTCTATATTATGATAATGTATGATTAACATAATTTAATTATATGTAATAACTTTTGACAAAAAAATATGCAAATATTATTTATTGTTAATAAATGCTTAAAATGTCCAGTAAATAATCGAGATTTTTTCTTATTTATTAATTGTGCAATTCAAACTCAAAAACATAGTTTGAACATTTATTGCGAAGTTGAATTATTAAATAAAGAATTACATAATTTTTACTCAGAACTTTCAAAAAATCTGTCATGTCTTTTTTTATACTCGTGTTCTAAATCACTCTGCACATAATACATATATAATTAAATTATATTAATTATAATATAATACGTAATAAAAAAATAAGGAATGTGCTTTCTTTATGTTTGATTTATTCGAATAAATTGCAAGTTTACTCGCGAACAGCTGTGAAACAGAGATGTTCATCTATACGTGATAGGCGCTAAAGGTTTCTAACTCTTCATTCTCCATTTCATTAAATCACACAACAAATGGCTCCGTTCCGAAGCCTATCCTAAGTGTTTCCTCGGAGAGAAAGAGATAATATTAGTCGGAATTAATGTTTCTCACCGGTGGACCGCTACTTTCCGCGCTGATTCATGCTCGTTTAGCGAAACGTCGCTTCGGGATAATTGCAAGAAAGTGCACACGCGCTGGAGCAGCTCGTGCTCAGGGGAAAACCCTGTCCGCAGGTGTCTTTCAATGTTATATCGCGATTGAGATGCGTGAAAATAAAGGCGACGCATCGGCGATGCCGGATGTGAAACTTAAAATTACGAGCCGTTTGTTGAGTCACTTGAACCATTGTCGACCCACGAAACGATCCTCCTTCAATCGTTTTACGCCAAAACATTGTCATTATCGCGACAAAAGTTTCTTCTCGTGTCTCTTTCAGGGACATCCGGATATTCTCTTCTGTTATGTCAGAATTTTTTGACTTTGAAGAGATATATCTTTTTCGTTAATTAATCGAAGATATCGAAATTTTTTACAAAAAAAGTACTTTTAAAAGACTACAGGGTGTATCTAAATATAAGGGAGGCATCTCCTTCCCTGAGAAGTTTTCATTTTTTTCTCAAATTTAAGACAAATTAAAAATATGGAACATTTTCCTCTTCATTTTTAATTTTTGAAATTTGTCTGAAATTTGAGAAAAAATATAAAAACTTAATTTTAATCTCCCTCTTTAGAAAAGTGTTAGAAAAGGAGAGAGATATAAGGAACCTTAATTTTCGACAAAGAATCATCTCCTAAAATTGCTCGCACTTACTTAGCTATACCCTGTATATTTATTTTCGTAAAATGAAAGTTTGAAAATAGAAACGCGCGGAAAGCTTTATAAGGAAATTTGTAAGATCGACGAATTAAATTGTACGAAAAATAGAAAGCGGCACAATGTATATGTTGATTTTAGAATTCGATGTATGAGGAAATTTAGAAATCAACGCGTGTGACACACAATAGACCGCGATCATTAAGAGCCGTCGAGGTGTTGCGGTTTCGACGACGTTCGCTCGTTATAGACGATGTGTTCATCAACGACGAGGCCCGATTACCACAAGACTAAAGCACCGAAAACTGCGAATGCGTGTACGTCCATTTTTTCGCTCCGTTATGATATCAAAATTTCCAACATTACGTCCATTTGATGATTTCTTTTTAATCAATGCGCTTATCGACATACGTACAGAACTAAAACGAGTTGGGTTGAAGATATAACGCGTTCTTGGAGCCGTTTGGCTTCGAGATTTAAAGAATGTCCAGTGAAAGGAAATGGACTAGATTATAATCGCGGAGAACCGGACGTGTCGACTTTGTTAACATAATAAATGACCGCGCGAAATCCGCGTTGAATCCGAGTTTTGCGTCACGCTTCATATCTGCTGCGATTAAACATTGGCGAGGAATGTCTGTTAATAGTCATGGCATATGTGAAATTCAGGATAATATTATTGGAAAGATTGCTGCGACAGAGATATCAAATATTTATATAAAACTGCTCAAATGAATCATATCTAATATCCTATAATTGCAATGCAGGATATACTTTAGCACTTGATGAAAAATTAATTACGGAGACCAATTGTTTTTGAATAAAGAAATAATCGATTGTTTTTGTTCTCAGGTGGCCATGACGGGAGATTACATCTTAGCAGTTGCCTGTATGATGATTTCCAAACTTCAAAATGATGACGTGAGCGTCGCAATCAGTCAGGTAAAGTATTAAATTGAGCATAAATTTTTTGTATACCTTATGACCTTCTATTTCCTCCTTTTCTCTTCCTCGAACAAAAGATGCGAATTAAATTGCGATTCAAATTATATAATCAAAATTACAATGGAAGAACGCAGCGTTTAAAGCAGATTACATTACTTCGTAGATAGTAGCTGATTTGGTGCAAGGAGAATTTATGCAGCTTGGTGCGAAAGAAACGGAAAACGAAAGGTTTGCGCATTATCTCACGAAAACCTATCGAAAAACGGCGAGTTTAATCGCCAATTGCAGTAAAGCGGTAAGCCTGTATTATATGTATATAAAATCGCATGCTAAATGATGAATTGCCGGAGATCTCTGTAAACGATTTGAAATTTTCTCATCTCAGGTCGCTATACTTGCCGAGGTTGACGATCACATGATAGAAATGGCCTTCCAGTACGGCAGGAACGTTGGCTTGGCGTTTCAATTGGTGGACGACCTTCTGGATTTCGTTGCTTCTTCGGAGGCCTTGGGTAAACCCACTGCCACTGATCTCAAGCTCGGATTAGCGACAGCCCCGGTGCTTTTTGCTTGCGAAGGGGTCAGTAAATCATTATAGAGTGACCCATAGGAAAATACTCAAACTAATTAGCTGTCATTTTTTTCAAACAAAAGTTGTGTTGAAAACAGGAAAGTCTACAGTTTTTAATGGCACTTTTTTCATTACTTTTTTCTAATAAAATAAACTGGTATACAAACATTTTATTTATAGCCACTAAAAACTGTAGACTTTTCTCTTCTCAACACAATTTTTTTTTTCAATAACTGCATGCATTAAAAATGACAGCTGATTAGTTTCAGCATTTTCCTATAGGACATATCCTGCATTTATATCGAGAACGATTTTTTTCAACGTCAGAATCTTAATCGATTACTTGAACTGTTGCAGTATCCGGAATTAAACGCGATGATTATGCGTCGTTTCCAAGAACACGGTGACGTCGAGAAGGCTTTCGAATTGGTGCACAAGTCTAATGGCCTCGAACAGACAAGATTTTTGGCGAAAAAACATTGCATAGAAGCTAACAAGATCATACAATCCTTCGCTAAGAGCCCTTATCAAAAGGCTCTCAGCATTATGGCTGATTTGGTTATCAATCGTATGAAATAGCACTGCCAGAATGAAGAACTTAGAACTGGGAGATGGGAAGGGGGAAGAATTTCGATTTTATAATTATTTATATAATTGTGGTGAGAGATAAAACGGCTAGGAAGCTCATTTTTGTCTCGATTTGTATCAATCAAATACGAGGATTGCATCGAAGAAGAATTTTTCTCAATATTATATTATTAGCCGGATGATTTATTGTGTAATTATATATATATGTAATTATATAATATATATATTTATATATATATATATATATATATATATATATATATATATATATATATATATATATATATTATGTTATATATATTATATATCGTTATAAATAGTTTATGCGTGACATTACCTGAAATTTTTCATAAAACATGATTAAATAAGGGGAAACTAGTTTTATATCGCTCTAATTCATGGTGGTGTAACGATGCGCGATTGAGAGCGTCAGTGCGTGGATCAATCGCATTGCCGTCCCAAGTTCATACCTCATCCGAAAAAAAAACAAGGAGGGTAGGAAGAGCGTTACGTAATCACTAAAGTACTTCTGTCTTTTTCAGAGGACTTTATTGACGCGCGGATTTAGGTTGTCTGGAAAACGCAGAAAATGTATTTTATAACAAAGTGCCTAGGCATATAACGTTCGTTGGATCTATGAGGAAGGAAAATACGTATTACCTGATTTTATGAATCGCGTTAGCCGATCATAATATAATGTAAATAAAATCTAGACCTTAATGATATTATATTAGCATTGATAATCCTTTTTACGGAACTTCTTTTATGCATGCATTTTTCATCACGCATATCAAGATTTATATTCGGCTTTTGAGAAAAATAGTAATGCGCAAAATCAAATCGCTCCGTCAAAATCTAATAAAAATTGTGTTAAAATATGCCAGAGAATTTACCTGCATCAAAGAAGTATAATCACACTTTATCTTAACACTATATATGTATAGAACCATGCAAAAACAAAGTAAAAATTTGAAAAAACATACATGTGTAATAGTAGCAGACATACAGAATTAACATTACAATAAGTTGTTTTTGGTCCATATCATGATCGACAATTAGGTTCTCTCAGCGAATATGTATTTTTGATAAAGTCAAACAACTTTTTCGACACTGAATAAAATTGTAAAATTAAATAATAAGGGAATGCCAATACTAATTTTTATCGACAGCTCAATTTGAAATTTTGCTGACAAAATGATGCGAAGAATATTTGCCAAAGAAGACAATTCAGTCTTTATTCGTTTCTCTCGCAAATTAATTTAGCAAAAATTAATTTTGGTCTGTCGTAATTAATATATATTTTTTTTTTGTTTTTTTTTGTTTTTTTTACATAAGTTTATAATAAGAATGCATCACGAATCGCGAACGAATTAAAGTTGTTTACTTATATGTTTTAACAGTAACGATAAAAAATAGAACCATCTTTGTTAAATTTTTGCTATATAAGTGAAACCGCTCAAAATATCATTTATTATTGAATATGTAAGTTTCAATGTGTCTAATGTACAATAATTTATATTTATGAGAAGGATTAATGTATATATACATAATTATCGTAATGTTACAGAATACAATAAATCATTAACTGACAAGCACATGCAATTATGATCAAATATAGATTTATAGTAGCATGTAAGCGCAAATGACTGAACAAAAAAGGAGCCGATCTCCATCATATCTTTTATAATATTTGTTAAAAAATATTTAAATTTATCAGTAATGCGCACAAAAATTGTTTCAATGAACAAAGTATATATATATTTAAATAAATATAAAAAAAACTCTAACAAAACATTAGCTATCGAAATAAAGAGGAAGAGGGAAGCAAATTCATGAATGATATGATGATTATAATAAATATTGTAAATTTATTTGTTAGATTTTTTTAAATTGCACAAGACAATTTGATATATTTATTATAATTTATTTAGTTTTAAATTTTAAACTAAAAATTATATGTAAAATTTATTAATATTTTTATTAATTATTGATGTGTGTTAAATATTAAATCTTAATTTGACAAAATAAATTTATACTAAAATAATGTAGTAAAACCTAACAATAAGTATAAGACAGTCAAAATTCAAACTAAAAGCTAATTAAAAAATAAACTTATCCTTATTTATATTTTTTGACAGATAGAATTGCGTTCGGAAATCCTACTTGTAAAGTAACACAGCATTTAATTGACCAATCAAGACAGAAAAAGCAAATTTTTTCTATGTTCCGATTGGTCGATAAAAGCTGCTCTACTCTATAGATAGGATTTTCGAACGCCCCTAGATGTCGTTCTCGACCGAGTAATTTGAATTTGTTTGTGTGCGTCCCCGATCCAACATCCAACACAACGCGCGAAAGTTCTTCACGTTGTCTTTTAATCTGTCAATTTCAAGAAAAATTTCCTGTAAATCCGTCGCAAATCCGCCGACATGGCGAGTTTATTGGACTTGTGCGAGCAATATTTCGGCGCCCGTAATTTTTATGATGTATTGAAGATTTCAAAAAACGCGAATGACAAGCAGGGTAAGCGAACGTTTCTTCTTAACCTCGAAGTCTCAACTAGACTCCAAGCTTTTCATCTCTCAATCCTTATAATAACAACATTTATTATTTTGCGACACTAGTGAAGAAGGCTTATCACAAACTGTCCTTACTCGTACATCCGGATCGAGTCGAAGAAAGTATCAAGGCCGAAGCAACCGAGAAGTTCAAAGTCTTAGGTAGAATACATTCCATTCTCAGCGACAATGATAAACGCAAAATTTACGACGAATCCGGACAATACGATGAGGAAAGCGAAGAGGTTGTTATGCGCAATTGGGCAGATTATTGGAGATCCTTGTTTAAACCAATCACTGTCGAAGATATCAATAATTATGAGAAGAATTACAAGGGATCGGAGACGGAGATAAAGGATCTTAAAAGGGCATATATAGACAGTAAGTTATTTGAATTGTATACAAGACATTTCAAAATCATTGCCTGTTTTCTATCACATGAGTTTTATTATTTTCAAAATAATTTTTAACAAAATTAATTTGATGTATTTCTGTAAAGAAAATTTTCTTCGCATTATACTGTATTCTCTTCTTTAGATTTATTAAATATATTAATATATTATAATATTGATATTAATATATTATATGAATATATATTTATACAATTGTATTTATTCTAGGCAAAGGAGATATGGATTATATCCTGGAAGCTGTTCCGTTTACAAATTGTGATGAAGAACCAAGACTGTACGCTATAATTGAAGATTTGATCAAGAATGATGAAGTCCCAGAATATAAGGCTTTCACTAACGAGAATGACAAGAAAAAACTGCGCAGGAAAAGAAAGGTAAGATAGCAAACATAATTTTCCTATTTTGTTCAAAATATTTAAAAGATTACATTGCTTCTAAATAATAAAAAAAGAAGAAAAGTAATAGAGGACAATTCAAGTCTCGTAACAATTATTTATTTGTCGCAGAGACATCTGTGTAGAGAATATATTTTATTTTAACAATTATAATCGTTAGAAAACGATATTTGCAAACTAGAAAATTATATATAAAGTGTAAGTGATTGAATCAGGAATCGAGCCTAAATCTTTCACTTTCAATATTGCTCTTACCACTATTCAAATCTCACCATCAGAAAATTCTAAAAATTATATTTGTTTATATCCTTATTTTATTTCTTAATAAATTATTTCATAATATTTTTCACATCACATATAGGTTCACAAACATTGATTTGATACTCATGACAGGAAGCAAAATTAATTAGAATATAAATATAAATGTTAATAAAAATTGATGAAATAACAATAACAACAATGTTAGATGTTGTTAACCTACTTAACATCTGTATGAGCAATTGAATGATTAGATTTATTAGATATATTTAGATGCTTATTGTTAGAGAAAATAGAGAGAGAGAGAGAGAGAGAGAAATGTCAACAGATACGATAGCATCTCAGGAACAAATGTGTGTCTAATATAATAATCTTACAAACAAAAAATTATTATATATTTTACTCTCTTATTTATTATAACTCTCTTAAATCTTGTTGGAAGTAATTTATTTTTGTCAGTTTTTTTCCCCAAAAAAATAGAGATATAAAAAACGAATAGATCATTTTTAATTCAATATCACAATGAAGAAGATTTATGAATTTATTATAAAAATACAAATATTTATAGAATTTTGCAGTTCAATTTGTACATATGTTATTATAAAATAAATCTTCCTCTTTGCAAATCATAATTGACAGTTTATTTAATTTTTTTTTAATTTTATATTTTATATTTATAAATTTACTAAAATATTTCAAGATCATAGCAAACAGTTTTCGCATATTATGTAATATGCAAAACATCAAGTTATCGCGAAACGTTATCGCACAAATTTTTTTTCCCACGTTTATTATACACTACTCACATATCGATTTCTAGTCATGGTCGACCGCGAGAAATTGTAGCGCGAATTTTAAATGACTTTAGCACTCTCTTCATTATTGCTAAATGTCACTTGAATAGTGTTTTAATGCCCCGCCACTCTATTTTCAAGCTTCTCTATTTTTACCAATAGACTGTACAGAGCTTGATGGGTGGAAGGTAGTAGGAGAAATAGCGGCATGAGTCTAGGAGGGGAAGGTCTAGTAAATAAGTAACCTACGAATGAGAACTGCTTCAGTCCGCGTTACAATTAGTTCGGCCGTTAATCGGAAAATATACGGACGAAAGAGAAATTCGCGATGACTGTCGCAAATTTTGTTCCGTTCAAATATCGAGATTAAATGCGAGAAACCACCATCGTGGTCTTGTTTATTTTTAATTGACGGAACAAATTCTATCGTTCTCTCTTGTAATACCTCTATACACTCGAAAAATGAAGAATAGTGTCGCAATTGTAGCGTTAATTGCCCTGTTGATTACGTTTGTCGACGATGTTGCTGCATCGTGCAGACAAATCGCGAACGAAGAGATGCTGGAGTATGTTTGCGAAGGTGGCCAATCCAACGATTTGACTACTGTACCTGAAACGACCGAGAAATTACGTATCACCAGGATGCCGATCGGCAGAATAACCGCTACCACGTTCTCCAAGTTTGGCGGAAATCTATGGGTGTTGAGTTGCTCGCATTGCGAGATCACTGATATCGATGAGGATGCATTTCGACGACTCGTCAATCTTCAGCAACTCAGCTTAGACAGCAATCATCTGACTACAGTGAAGGCATCATGGTTTCAGGGTCTTGACTATCTGACGTATCTTGATCTCAATTACAACAATATACACAATATCGAAGACGATGTCTACAGAAATTTACCGAATCTCGTGGACTTTAGAATCTCGGGAAATCGACTGCGCTGCCTGAATGTTAACGAAATGTCGCACCTTAAGGATTTGAAGCGCATATTTCTCGGCGAGAATTCCGAATTTGCTTGTCCGCACGCTGTGAGTAGGTTTCTTGAGAATCGAGGTATCAGTTTCGAGCCAGATCCTGAATGGAGAAGACTCGCCAGCGACACGATAGACGTTCCGTCGAGCTACGCGAAGGAAGATCATAGAACTCTGTCTCCTGACAACAGATCGGAACAGCCGAAAATACCTTATACACCTTCGAAAGAAGGAACGTTTTATCCGGACCATCATGCAGACCATCGTTCGCGTCACAGAAGACCAACCACCACTATGCGACCGACAACGTCCACACAACGCAATGATATACCGCGGGTGGTACCCCCGGTTACAAGACCTTCTCCATCAGATTCACCCTCGCGGCAGATGATGCCGTATCCACACTCGACGCCAGAAACACTGCCAGTACCGCCAGTACCGCCCACAGAATGGAGACCCTCGGAAGATATCAGGATGATAGGAACCACCGACCACGAACCATCACAAACGAACCAACACGCCTCAGTCTATCAACCGACAGTTCCGACATACGAAACGACGCCTTTATCGAGAGATCCCGTCTTGGATAGATTGCGAGTATCGGCTGTAGAATCAACATCCTCCACACAGGATGATTACGAAACAACTGATAGATCATCTCAGGTGGGACACACCCAAAAATATCCGCTATACGATGCAACATCTAATGATCGAGAAAGAATACCCGACGGATACGTTCAAGTGACGCGTCATGGCGATTCAGACGTGGTTACTGTCGGCTCTTGGTCCACCGACTACTCGAATCAATATCCTTGGACGCAACACGAATACTCTCGCCCTCCTACCGAGAGCATCGACAGATCACCGCCTTCGTGGCCCGCAAACACGCCAAATCTTCAAACAACGCCATATTACGCAGGATACGATCCGCGTAAAATAATCGTCGAGGAATCAGCGAACATCATCGACAATGTTCCAATTGTCACCGATCCCGTTGATCAAGCACTCAATCAATGGGAGACCACGACGAAGCTGCATCATTACGTCAGACCTTCGGTACCCTCATCTCCTGGATTAATATCTTCACCTCCGGTGTATCCGAACGTGTTTTATCCAACTTCTTATGAAGAACCAATGGTGACCGAAAATCCGCCATTAGAGGATTATCGGGAGACGACTGTAAACGATCCCATGACTACAGAGGAGCCGTCATCTCCGTGTCCGGATAGAAATTCAGCAAATTCCTCGAGAATGCAATCGTACATCGTCGCATTAGCGATGTCCATAATTGTCACCGTCTTTGGACACGTCATCGCGAAGGGATTTTAAGTCTCGTGCGCGTCCCTCTTGCCTCCAATCGGATTGGATCGAAACGAATTGTTTTATGAGATAAATTCCATACAATTAACTATACCGCGCGAGAAATAATGAGATTGACATTTTGTTGCCGATCTACAACAAATAATCTACATTATTTAAAATTTAAACGTTGCGTTGTGCCACGGAAAAACCTGAGCGCGCATTTATATATATTTAGCGTTAGAATTTTTCTCCCCCACATATATATATATAGCTATCGAGTACCTGCTTAAGGAAGCTTCATAGAACTACTAACCAGACGCAGATCTATTATCAAGAGCGCAGTCGAGACATCTTCTTTGCTCTGGAACTCTTAGCTCCGGAAACGGCAGAGCTAGCTGAACCTCATGTGTAGGTATCGTGCGATCGAGGGATGTAAAAGGAAAACTCTGTTTAATTTTTTTAATAGAGTTAATCTGTCATTATCTATACCGATTATTTGTACAACTATTTAATATCATATAAAATTGTTTTTTCCTGTTAAGTTTAAAGCAGACTCTTTATAAAAGCAAAAAAAAAAGGTTTTTCATTTTTTTATAGCAAGCTAATAGCGCATTTTTATCTAGAATAATTTAATTTATAATTGTACATCAGTTTTTATGAGGACCGAAAAACTTAACACTTTAGTATTTATGAAGTTAAAATTTAATTTTAATAAAAAACTTTTTATAAAGAATTATAAAATAGTAAAACTTGATTTTAATATACCAATTTTAGACAGTTTAAATATTCAATAATGTGAAGACTTTTGAATTTTAGTTAGCTTTCTTCAGACTTGACAGACTGAAAAATTTCGCTCATTCCCTAACTTTCGATCAATTGGCACGAGTTGAACAAACTTTTGTTTTAAATATGTTCTCCCAGAGAAAATCAAAGGAAATTATTGTTTATCGGTGAAACTAAACTTAGCAAATCTTTGATCTGCAAATCGTGTTTGTTTCTCGGAATCAACTCGAGACGTAGTAAAGAGACGTCTAAATATCCGAAATGTCCGCCAAGTAGGGAAGCCAATAGTGCGGCGTGTCGGTTACCAAGATTTTAATTGCGATAAACTGGCGGCCCGACCCTCATTCGTCGTGGTAATGAAATAATTACTAATGTCATCGTCCAATCGTCGCGCCTGTTACGTAACGACCTTGTTACGACGAACCCGGCTCGACATTGTAGAGAAAACGTACACGTTAAATATACACTCGAAGACGTTCACTCCGACTTCACAGTCAAGTTCGCAGCTTCCTCCATCGCGTCGTTCCTCATGCAACAGGTGCATCTCTCAGCGACGAGAGGAGATCTCTCGCGCGAAGATCGTGGCGAGTTAGCCTTGAATAATCATTGAATGCGTCCGTTATAATGAACGAGCGTTTATCTTCGGTTAAATCAAATGCAGCCTGCATGCACACATGCTTCTCTGAGAAGTGCCGCTTTGTCAATTCTCCATGAGATTCCATACCGATGATGACACGATGTTATTTAATACCACTTCGCACCATCCGTGACACATTCGACGGATTCGCCGTCAATTATTTAATGCGATTTCCTTAGGTTTGTGACGCGATTCCGATCAATAGATATAAACCCTCAAGTATATCGCAAGGTCGCGAAAATGTTTTCGCCTTCAACTTCGCCTGCTAAGAAATGTGTATGCATGTGTCAACTAAGGTGGTACTTGACACGCGACATTGTAGCTGAAAATACAACACGCGCTTTTCCTGCTTCGCTCTTATTTAAATTTGGATGATAGGTCTTTAAATAATTTCAAGATTACTCGACACGGATGAAACATTAGATATTAAAATTTTAAACAAATATTTGATACATCTCTATTTATCGAGGTGGAGTCATTAAGTTTTATTCAATAGATAAGAGATCTCTCTTTATATTGGGAAACTGATTAATTTCGATTGTATAATCAAACCGATAAATGCCTCATCCCGTGACTTGGTGCAGTCAGAATTTCGTGAAGCGTTGTGTAATGCACCGGCATTAGGCAGCCAGTTAGACGTACTTGCCAGAAATTATAAATAACGGAATTTCTTCAGCGGCGGATTATAGAGTAGGTCACGCGCGATATGAAGCGTCATCGACGCTTGTGCGCTTCGGATAGTCGGCACTGCTGAAAAAGCCTGCGGAATGTCCACCTGCGGAAAGTCTATGGAAAATTGCAAAAATGTTGGGCGAACGAAATTCCATAAAGGAAAGAGTTCCGGATACCAATGTACCTTATATTGAGAAAAAGAGAAAAAGGCGCACTTTATCGGACTTTGCTACGATGAACTTGACTTATTTACATAACATCGCGTTTGGTCGAGAGGAATCAAGTGGAGATTGTGGCTTTAAAAATTAAAAGAGCTTACTAAATAAGTATTTGCATTATTGACTTATTTAGTTAATTTATTTATCGGAAGCCCGTAATTTATGCATTCAGTATTCGCTGAATATCAATTTATTTCGAAAATGTTTTTAGCAATATATTATAATATTTTAAATGCGTTATAATATTTTTGTCAATAATATTATATTATTCTGTACACGCTCGTAGATTTCTAAATTTGTCATTTTTTTTCATCATTTTAAACATTTCTTTATCCAGAAAATAGTATAAAGTTGGAAACAGTTAAAACTATTATACAATTTTACAGGGATATTTGTAAATGTAAAAATTGTCATTTTAAATGTCCAATCTTTCAGCAAAGATCAAAGCTCGAAAATAAAATAATATTAATAATTTTGATGGCTACATATTTTTTTCCTAATATTACAGTCTAACTTTGAAATTAGAAACATAATGACACTTTTCATCCTGTTATTCCAATCGAGCTTCTTGAAATGGAGGGGAGTAAATGCGTGAATATTATATTTTGAATAAACCTCTTGTTAGAGCAAGCTGCCAATGTAAATGTTGTTATAGACAGATCATAACACATATTGCTGACACGAGCATATACTGACACTATCTTCTAAGTTTATCCGAGTCGTACTTCATAAGCAATGCATATCCGACTACTTGAGTCATTAATAAAATCGATGACCCTACTTTTTCAACGTTAAGGTCAGCAAGAAAAACTCGCCTCTCTCAACTCGAACATGAATCTCGCGTGCATTTAATACTCTCGATGCAGATTTCGGAAATAGAATAATGCGTAGATCGCGTTTTCGCTCTTATTACACGAGCGGACTGTAATCAATCTCGTTAACAGGAACATGCTTGTACTTCGAGAGCATTATCTAATTTGAAAATCTATTCCTTCCTGCCACGAGCCTGGATTGAATTATCTATTTAAATTAAACGTACTCTCTTAGCCGGACTGTGTAAACAGTCATTGGCTTTCGGTGTTAATTGCTTTGATTCACTTGTTTGATTGCAGTGGGCTAAGGAGGCAGCGGAAGCTGAACGTTTGGAGAAGATGCTAAAGCTGGAAAATGAGGAAAATGCGGCCACGAACGATCTCGCGTTAGTGATTCAAAATCGTAACAAAGCTCGCGCCAGTCAATCGGACAGTTTCTTCGATTCGTTAATTGAGAAATACGCAAAGAGCACTGAAAAAACGACGAAGAGAAAGGCTGCACCCGCAAAGAAAACTACAAGAAAAATTAAAAAGAAAGCCTAGAGATAAATTAGCGCCGAAACACCTGTCTGTTTTTACTTTATCTTCAAAAAAGTCTCAATTTCTAAATTTTAATCGCAAAGCACGAATTTGCTATAAATTTCTACATAATAATGGACAGTATAATTTTTCTAAATATAAGCCCACCAAGACTGCGTAAAAATGCCAATAAACTAAACAGACTAATCTGCTTGGTTTAATGTCATTGCGTCAATTAATCGCGCGTATACTGCGACATAAATGAAATTATATAGAATCAAGACTTTTTTTTAAATGTGTATGTATAACAACGTAGATACAAAATTGTTACTTAATTAATTAAATATAATACGATATAAATTAATAAATGCGATGCAATTGTATTTTATGAAAACTAAGAATTTCTGTAATTAATTTAAAATTTTATAGAATGTGTGAAATAGAAAAATAGAAAATCTCTTTTTAATATCTCCCTTTGTAACTTCTTTGATCTATCTTCTAAGTTTTTCAACGATAAGAATAAAAAGACGAAGAAATAAGTAAAATATACTTTAAATATATAAATATAATATAAATCACTGTAATGAATTCTAAAACAATCATTAATTGTATTATTATTATAAATATTTATTTTGAAGTAACCTAATTTATTATAGTGAATGGTTTTAAAAAATCGATAATTACTTTTTTCGTCCAAATAAAATTTGTAAGGGCGTTACTATTGCAGTTTCCGAAAAAAAAGAACAAGAGCAATATTAAAAATAACATGTTACTTTCAAATCCTGATTTATGTAATTTTAACAAAATGTATTTATGCATAAAAAATTTGTTCATTTTATTTACAGAAAAAATATATGAATTTAATTCTAACGAAAAAACTGATGAAACATTTATTGAATCATTTTCAGCATCTTTCCAAACTTTAAGATTTAACGCGACGATGATTATATTTTTACATTATCAAAAATTATAAAAAATTTTCTACATATAAAATCGATTATTTTATATGTACAACAATCTCTCTCTCTCTCTCTCTCTCGGATTATAAAACTTTCGTACGACAAATTTTTCAATTTTTTAAATAAAATAAAATAAAAATATCTCGGGAAAGGAAAAATTTATTGATTTCCAAAGAGTAATTTTTTTAGATTCATCATTTCTAAATTTATTTATGTTTAGACAAAAATCCAAAGTAGAAATTCGAACTATCAATAAATTAGAATTAATTCATTTTGTCTCTTTCGATTCCAGTCATAGAAACAAAGGAATTTTCATGCAGTTTTATTGAACAAAATAGGATAAATTTTTAAAATAAAAATATATATATATATATAAATTCCATAAGATATTCGCAAGTGGAAAATAATGTTCCGCGAATGCTTTTTATTAAGTTTTGATTAATATTAGTATTTAATGATACAAAATATGTATAACAAATTATAATTTTTTTTAATTTCTTTTTCTCTCTGCAATTTATTCGAAATTTTATAATATATTTTTAAATATTTTAAAATATATTTTTTTTATTTTGACTCAATCGAAAGTGAACTAGATAGGAATTTTTGTTCATAAATTCTGACGCAAAGGTTTATCAAGTGTTTTGAAAACGCAAAACTTCTATGAATAGAATGTTAATCAAAGCTTTCTTAGATATTCTAAACGATTAATCGTTGCACCACATACTTGGCACTTTGCCAGTATTTGCCATCTTAAACGCGTTTATAGACAACGCATCCGTCTCGGTCCGGACATTGATGGAAACGATGACCCTTCTTGTAAAATTTATGTCTGCTACATTGCAAAGTTTATCTCTGATCATTCGCATATTTTACACGTGTAAATATTTGATAATTTTGAATTTTAGTGCGCAGTATATTTTACAAATAAAATAATACATAATTAATTACTGCTTTTAAGAAACTTATTCATCTTTCATAATGTTGTTGAATTATAAAAGTCTCGAGATCTCTCTTACATTCCGTAAAAAAATAACTATTTTATATTAAAAAAAAAAGAAAAGTATTATCTTTCATGTGCATGGAAATTGCATATATTACCGAAAAAAGATTATATATAATTTCTACATCTTATACTGTGTATAAAAAAGAGATTGCGCCAAAAGTATTTTCTCGTCTTATGAGTGACCTGACTTATCGATGTTAGGCAAAATGAACATTCAGTGATCTGTAAAATATTATACCCTTTTGATCAATAACCGCGCTGATTCTTTGATTTTAAACTAAATTTTTAACGAAATTATTCAATTAATTATATATTTAAGACAATTGAATATATATTTAATTAAATTTTATTAAATAATTTGTGTATTATTTACACATATAGAAATAAAACATGTTAAATATTTTATGTGATATACGTTAATCATAAAATATATATATATATTACATCATTATAATATTGAAAATAATTACATTAAATTTTTATATATCATACATTTAAGATTACACATATTTATTAAAAAAAAGTGTTTGCAAAATTAATTAAATATTAAAAATATTGGAAAAATGCATGTTTTCAATCATCTGCATGCTCGAATGCTTTAATGCTTATTGTTAGGTAGCACTACCTTAGCATCATCAATAACGAACATGGGCGGTGTATTGGTCCAGGCTGTTAGTCACACAATTTGTGAAAGGCGAAAGGAAGGGAAACAACAGAGGATGGCAAGAAATAGGGAGAGGGCACACTCTCGTCAGGACACCTACTCTCCTGCTTTCGCGAGTCTCGTGTTTGATAGCTCGAGATGGTGGCGACTACGATGTTGTGGTACTTTCCAATCGGTGTTGGTAGAGATGGTATGTACACTGAGTGAGCATCATGAGAGTGGCCACCTCGTATGGTCAGTCTCATATTACGTCTGGACTGGCTGGAGCGACAACACAGTACACATCGGGTGACACAATTTCCCCAAAAGCAAAGCCTCCTCTTTTATTCATTTTTCACAAACCTCAATCCAGTAATTTAAGGGATCTTGATTTCCATCACTTTTTATTATTTTTCAATTTAATATATTCTAAATGTATTAAACCATCTGTTTCCGATCATGGAATCAGGAAAGTATGAGGGTTCTACGTTCAAAATTTAAAATACAGTTCGTTTATTCGAGGCTTCTCTTCAATCAGTCTGTGTATTTAATAAAAAAATCTATTCTAAGAGAAGTCTGTTGCTGCATCGTCAAATTATTACGTTGCATATTTAGTCAAATGTTTAATTCGAAAGACGTTCATAGGACATCCTAAGTATGTTCGGATGCTGTTAGAGAAATAATGATTTATTATACTGATTTTTAGTAATAAAATCTTCTCTTGTCGCATATTTTATTATATTTTTAATGTCTTGGAATAAATGAGGAACGTGAACTTCTCATTTTGAACGAGACACCCGTTGTGTATGAGATCGACGCACACTTTGACAGAACCACGTATGTGTAACCGTCTTATTATGGATATGTGGTGCAAACATAGGTATAGCAAAGTGTAAACCATTATTATTTTTAGCCAGACATGTAATAGAAGGCCGGATTAAAGTTTACGAAAGAACAGAGTAACACAATAACCGCGGTGTAACTGGAATCATATTTTTTTTTTTTTCGTCCCCTTAAACAGCAATTATATCACGACCCATTGGCGATTGTGCCGGGTATTCCCACAGAGTTATACGCAACACTAAAGCCCGCTCGTAATCGAATAAAACGGATGAGTCATATAGGTATATCGCGAGGGAACAAACGTTTCGCCATATTATGAAACGATCGGAGAAGCGTCTCGGAAAGCTTTCGAGCCGCAACAAATATTCTTATTGTACGTTTAATTGCATCTCGTTCCGCGTGTACACGCGTTATGGTCTTTAGTTCATTTATAGATCGATAAATCTATATACACATCAAAATTGATGAAACGAGCGAGGTCTAGAAGAGACGCGACGTGCATGTCTGACATTTGACGGTCTTTCAAACATCGTATATACGTTTGAAGTAAAGAAACACGTTTTACAACGATTCGCGGTTGCCGTTATTTCACGCTAATTAAGAATCGTAGGTATATCAAATATATAAAAAAAAAAAAAAAGGAGTTAATGTAATGAGGCAGATGTAACGTGTGCTGTCGCGGAAAGACTGACTCGTAAATCATCAGCAGCGCTTGCTCGCGGGTTGAATAGAGAATTTCCCCTTTTTTCACATGACTTTTGTCGGTTAAACCGCAGAAATGGAAAACGCGCAATCACCGCGTGGTGGCATTTAGGCGAGGGTTAGGCTCATAAAACTGTAACCTATTTCCGTTTGTAACCGCACTACTATCTATACCTCTCGGCTAATGCATCGGCAATGCGCATCTCGTTAAATGCACACGGAGAAAGGTCGAGGCGAAAGATGACAACGTGCACTTTAGCCTATGACATGCTTTTATCTCTCTGATCTTTTCAGAATTCTCCATTAAGATAAACTAGAAATAAGATAAACCATATATAATATCGCTGTCTCTTCCTCCTATCGACAAAAGACAGAATAAGGAAGAGCTTTGATATAGAAAAAAAAAAAAACGAAGAAGCGCACATAATGGCCTAAACATCGGGAACCACATTTGCGCGTCTGTTAACGCAGTATTATTTCCAAGAGCATATATATACGTACTGCGGAATTCACCCCATTGAAGCCGCATGCACCGAGGCGGCGGGAAGGAAAGCGAAGAGGAAAATTAAGGCGGCGGGGTTGCAACTGCATGATAGAGAGCGAGAGAAGACACTGTTGCACCGAGGAAGCACGGTGGAGCGAGGAGAGACCACGGTGGTTGTATAGCCGAGAGACGGTAGTGGAGGCGAAGAAGGAGCAGAAGAGGATGGTGGAGGAACCGTGCGCTGGTGGAGGAGAAGGGAAGAACGACATTCCAGAAGGCGGCGGCGGCGGTGGTTCTCGTGGGAAACCAAAGAGAGAGAGAGAGAGATCTCGTCTCGGGGAGGAGAGGTTGTATGCGGGCCTTAAGGCACCGTTCTCATCTCCGGACGTGTGACAAGATCACGGAGAAGGCTTCTGCCGAAGCCGCGCCGCGCGAAAGTCGCCGAATTTAGAGAGAAATCCAGCATTCGCGCAAGCGAGCCAATTTCTCACCCTAAATCTACCCTTTCTTCATTCGCACCAAATCTGTGAATAGCTGCGAGATCAATTTTCATATTAATTCAAATACACTTTTGTACGAGAGCTCGCATACCAATTCTCGAATAAATATTTAAATCTGTGAATCGAAACTTTAGAATTGAAAACATTTAGCGATTCGTTAACTTTCTTTCTTCCTTTGTTACCCTTATTGTTATTATTATAAGTTGAGATATTATTTGTTTCATTCTTAGAATTATTTTATATATTTTCTTTATAAAATAAACTAATTATCTTCAAAAAGAATGTTTGAATAAAAACGCGCTCCTTTAAAATTAAA